CTTTTTTGTTTCTTTCTTTCTCCCTCTCTCTCTCTGTCTCTGTAACGGCCCTCCTCTGCAGAGATACGAAAACGGAAGATTCTTGCCTTGAACTGGCGGTCAGTTTTCATTAACTCGTAGCACCACTCAAACGAAACATCACTTTGCTTCTCCTGTTACTCACTGATCACAACCGTGAATTCATTGCCATTTTCTTAAGATCGAGTCTGCTGGTCACTTCGCCAACAGATTCTCAGTTGTCTCCGGAAATAGCTGCATATTACTCAAATAAGGTGATCCTTTGTTAAGTATGTATTTGTTCCCAGAAAAAAAAAAACTCAGAATTTCCATGACAGGACTTCTGAACTATCCTTTTTTCCAGAATAGTTCCAGTCCAGTCTGGTCACCTCTATTGATTGTTGATTTTGGTGATGAGGATGGGCTCTGGTTGCGTGTCGAAGGACCTTCATCAGTGCATGGTAATTGTAACAGCATTTTCCTAAGACAAATTTTTTGCTAGTAGGCCCAGTGGCTTTTTTTCAGCTAGAACCATTACTGTATCGATCTTCGAGCGTCGTCAGGATGGTGTTCTTCATCTGGTTCAATCTGCTGACGTTGATTACCCATCTACGGGATTTAAGGTGTCTGTTTCGATGGGATCGTTGGGTTTTGTTGGTTTTCGCTTGGTGACTTCAAGAACTGTTATCCAAGCACACTTCCTTTAATTCACAATTTTTAAGTGGCGGAATGTGGCAAAGGGAGAGTACGTCGTCTATGCACACATTCCTCGACATGATTGTCTGCTGATTTGTGATGATATTCCATCCCGATCTGTTCCGTGCCATTTATGTGCGCACACTGCTATCAATTTCACACTTCTTGCTGATCGAGCGAGTTTGTCATGGAAAGGATTGCGTCAGATGCGTGACTCGAGTCCTTCAATCATATATGCTCTGGCTTGTAAGTTCCTTCGTTTTCAAGCCTTCAGATATTTATTGTTATGGTGCAGGCGTGAAGAAATTAGCAGTCTTGGAGCAGTACATGATGCTTTCTGGTGCGCGATTCCCCCACTACCCGCAACTTGGGATCACACCGCGCACCCTAACCATTAACCTATTCGATTCCTCAGTAAAGGGAACCCTCATTGTCGGAAAAAGCCGCACAAGGCAGCAGAGACACCATGAATTGATCGGTTACAGGACTCTTGCCAATCAAACATTTACTCGCTGCGATGCTTCGGGGGTATTTTTTCATGGCATCTGGTGGGACATTTGAGGGGAGAAGAAAAATGGAGTGAGAGAGAGGGAGAGAGAGAGAGAAGAGAGAGAGAGAGATAAGGAGAGAAGGAGAAAGAAAACAATAAGGAGGGAGGCTTCGCGATAACAAGCTCCTTGAGCCATGAAATGATTATGAAGAAGAAAGAAGTAACGGGTGTTACTAGTGTACCGCAAATGTCGAAGGGGTAAGCGATAGCAGTTGGTGAGATGGCTGACACGAGCGATATGATTGATATACATAGTATTGTTGCTGTTCGGTTCCTAGATACTCGTTGAAAATTGTTGGCGTCCGCACAACCTCATCGCCTTGAGACACCCATGATCCGTGCAGGCGGAGCCAAGAAACTGTTGACGCCTAAACAAGCTAATCGAAGTTAGGATTATAAAAGTTATGCTGTTTCTTCCGTATGCGGTGCATCAAGAAATAGGATCCGTATCGAAGAAATAAGTTGCTTTGATGAAAAACTAAAAAACCTGAGAGTCTATTATTTTCGGTATGGCCTCTTATCGGTGTAGCATCGTGTAGCCTATTTGTACTTACAGTTTACGACGACGGACCGCAGAACGCGCAGCCGTATGAATGCGAGAATAGAGCTCCAAGGTTGAAACTTTGGTCGCGCTTATCTGACGCCAGTGAGGTGCTGAGCACTCTGCAGTAATACTTGCTCTGAGCCGTGTCTTGGAAAAGCATGCAGAGGTCACTGTTCTTCTGGACTATCATGAAATGAGTAATGCGTAGTTTTCAGTCTCTGTTAAAGTATCACTCATCAAGTTTAAAAATCAGTCTCGTGTGTTCATTTTGAGATAAAATGAGTTGGTAACATCTCTCTCTCTCTCTCTCTCTCTCTCTCTCTCTCTCTCTCTCTCTTTCTGTCGCGTGTCGTCTGTCTGTCTGTCTGTTCCCACATCCATTTAGATTTTTTGTGTCTTCAATGCCTCCATACCTGTCTTATTTTAATACTCACATTTTTGGCGCTACAGCGGGGAGAGTTCAGGCGGCAGATTTAGTCACATGACTGTTTGTCCTATTATTTGATCCTGTAGCGAAACCCTGTGGTCGGAGCAGGCCACTAAGAGAAATCGGCTGCCAGATCATGTAGTTGCGAAAGAACATATGGTGGACCAGGGTATTTGCTTCTCTGAGGGGGAACTGCGTAGGTGAGTCACGGTTTGTGAAAAGTTGCGAGGTTACCAAGTAAAAGAATGCTAAATAGAGGAGGCTAGACATGAGCAGAAAATACGCGAATAAAGGGACCAAGCAGTCCAACAGATCAGCAGGACCAGATCACGCCTCCCTGTTGGAGGAAGGATCCTTGAAGGGAGGGTGCGACCCAGCAGAAAAGGGCAGGGATGGTTGCGCGGGTACGTGACAATATGATGGTAATTCGCTGCGCTGGTTTGGCGTCGCGTGCGACGTCGCGCTCGCAAATAACGAAGTTTCTAGGTCGTAAATGGTCTATAATCAAAAATAGCCCTAAATATCTACGATATCGATGTCTACTTGAAATCCGGTGTTCCAGTAGACAGGCTGATGCAAACTGAGAAAGCCCCCTCCCCGTGCGCGACAGAGCGGCGAATGTCTTGACTGTCTCCCTGGTCGCTCTATCCCGTGCCCCCCCCCCCCTTTCCCCTCCCGATCAAGTGACAAGCCATTATTGTTCTCTCCCATAGTAGTGTAATTGCACTAGAACATCCTTTTCTAGTAGAATTTTAGAATAATTTAGTTATCCGTCCATATCGTTGGCTTCTTGATTCGATTTGTCGAGCATCTCACGTGTTAATAGTTGTATCACCGTGCACTCAGTTAGTGCTGGATGGCCAAAATCTGCGACAGCGACGCCCTTTTCCAGATCTCTTCGTTCCTGCAATAAACATGATTATGAGGGTAAGCCTATTTGCAATACGTTTTGATTGCAAGTAAAGATTTAAATTTTTTTAGGAGTGCACTGGAACTGCTGCGCTCAATAAATATATCATTTGTCGCCTTCCTTATTCCCCAGCATCTCCTAGCCAGTTAACGATGCTAGGACTTCCTGAAGTAGAAAGTGAGTTCATGTCCTGAACTTCTGTAGGTGCTTTTTTGAAAAACGAGCCTCAGAATTTTCATGTTCACATTTCTACCTTGATTGTCTCTTTTCAGTTCCTTCAGATTTTTCTCGGTTAACTGCACTTATTCATTCAATTGATGGTGTATATGACCATCGAATTCCACCTGACTGCAGCACCTTAGATAATTTCAGTCGTGCTGTTGAAGCTATGATAGCACTGAAGCACAGGGATCCGAACTGGATAGCACAGAGGCTGTGTGCTGAGGTACTTGGGTAGTTACTTAAGTCTAAAAATAGGATATACATTAAAATTATCCTGAAGTGGCTTCAGGATTCTAATGTCGAGAGCAACGCTGATCTAGCGGAGATTCCTAAAGGAGAAGTCGTTAGGCTGAAAACTGACGACGAAAGGGAGAAAGCAGCAGAAATGTTTGGTCTATTGCCGCCGGAAGAAAATGAGATGGTTGGATTTTCTGCAGATTTTTTTTCCTACTTATGGAGAATGGTTCTGTGTTCTCTACAGCACATTGTTTTCTGACCGGGAAATGGTTGTCTTCTGGATAGTTGCTAGAAATAGAAATACAGCATGAGATCATTATTCTTATGTTTCC